TAGAATTCCAGAATGGTTTGGGTGGGGAGGGACATTAAGATGATCCAGTGCCACCCCTGACATGGCAGGGACATCTCCCACTGTGCCAGGCTGCTCCAAGCCCATCCAGCCTGGCCTTGGGCACTGCCAGGATCCAGGAGCAGCCCCAGCTCCTCTGGGAATTCCATCCCAGCCCGGATTTCCTTCCCAATGTCCCATCCAACCCTGCTCTGTCAGTTTGAAACTGTTCCCTGTGTCCTGTCCCAAGTCTCTCTCCATCTTTCCTGTCAGTTCCTTCAGGTCCTGGAAGGAGCAGCTCGGTCACCCCAGAGCTCCTCTTCTCCAGCTGAACATTCCCAGCTTTCCCAGCCTTTCCCAGGGTGGATGGCACTGACTTCCTTCCCCAGGCTGGGCCTCTCATGTGCTGAAGCTTTTGGGGCCTTAAAAAAAGCTGTGCTGTGCCCCAAAAGAGCCACTCCTGTAAAAAAAAAAAAAAAAAAAAAAAAAGGGATAACAACCCAAGGATCTGCCTCCTCTCCTGACATTGCCACATGGAGAAAGTCAAGCCTCTCATCAGGCATCCCAAACACCATCTGTCCATGTGGGGAATCCAGGTCTCAGGCTCACTGAGCCTCGTGATGAATGTCCCCTGCTAAAAGCAACAACGCTGCATGGAAGATGATGAATTGGACAATCTGCTTCCCTTAAATCCAGCCTGGTTCCATGGACATGCCAGGCTATTGCTACACACTCTGTAACCCTTGCTTAAAGCCCATATTAACCTCTTATTCAACTAGTAGTTCATTAACCACTGAAAAACAGCTAAAGTGATTGATTTTGGTTAAAATCTTAATTTATTGATGTTTTAATTGGTAAAATAGAAAGTCTGGGCTGTATTAATTTACTCAGAGCTGGCATCAGATGGCTCCAAGTTAAATACTTCTGTAAACCTGAGCCCCTCTCTGCCTCAGCTCCACATCTTTAAGCAAGCAGGAATAATATTTCCAACACAAAAAGCCTATGCATATTCTTTTTGTACAGATATTTGTATATAACCTCAGGAAAACAAAATACATTTATGAAATAGAGGCCATGCAAATGTAGGAAAAAATGCTGAGCAAGACATTTTTGTCCTTCTTTCACTTAGAAACAGCAAAGATATTTTTGGTCCACACATCATTCTGTTCCAACACATTGATTTATTCAATTTGATGAAAATGGAATGGCCAGAACATAATTAATGGTTGAAACTCTTTCTGTTTAACAAATTGAAATACTTTGAATACTAACTAGCCATATGTAAAGCTCATCAATATTAATGATACTTTCTGAAATATATCATCTACTCTTCACGGACAGAAATACGTCTGGGTTTGCTGAGGCACAGAAATGATTAGGGAGGAATTCACAGGGGCTTCTAAATCTCTTGGAATACAAAGCTCCATTTTAAAACTGAATTTTCTGAAAATCTCAAGACACTTTTCCACAGTGTGGATGGCCAAACACCTTCCAAAAGTGGCCTTCAGCCCTGAGTTTGCAATATGACACGACATGAAAGGTCTTAAAATGCCCAGGGAAACAGCCTCTCAAATGAGATCATAAAGAACGTTCATTATTCTGAAATAAGAGCAGGTTAATGCTGAAACCCAGTGCAGAACTGTTCATACTTATCTGTGGGATTCATAGTCCTAAACTTCCTTACAAGGAGAGCTTAAACCACGCACAAGGCTGGATTTCAATACCATGGCGCTCCTTGGCACACAATTTACAAAACTACAAAGTCCAATTTTGCAACAGGAAAGCCCCACAAAAGGAGAAAAGGAATGGGAAAAGAGGCTGCTGGGATGGAACAACAGGACCCCCCTGAAATAATCACAAAGCTGAGATTGTGCCACCCCAACTGCTCCTTCAGGCATGACCAAAGAGGAGTTTATCAGAACAAATTTGAAAGAAAACACAGTCAACTTGGTTTATTCCTTTTTTTTTTTTTTTTGGAACTCCCTACCCAGCATTTGAAAAATTACAGAGAAGATGAGGAGCCCACAACCTTCACACCAAATTTTGCCCGATGAAAAGAGCAGGTTTTTATCCTCATTAACAACACCCAACTCATTTGTATGTGTGCAGGTGCAGTCCTTGGACACAGATGCAGGACATCCTGTTCATGGCAAAGGCACATCATCAAATTATTTATTCAACTCCTCACAAAATAAAAATTATCCAACATTGTTTGAATTCCTTGAGTGACAACTTCAGGCCATCCTGTGATGTCATCAACTGACTTTTCCAAGATTTATTAACCCAGCTTTGTCATTAATTAATTGCCAGTGGAAAGTTTGCTCTTGTTGGGGTTTATACTTTTAATATCTCTCTCTCATCTCAGCTGTTTATTGGATCCAATTTATGAAGGGTGAGAGGAACACGAGTCATTAAATCACCTGGAGGTGCTTCCTGTTTATGAGGCAATAACCATTTTCCTGTGCTAATAAATCCCAGGCCCGCAGCTGAGCATTTATTAGCCAAGCTACAGTTATTGTTGAGTTAATTGGAAGCACCCTGAAGTTGTTACTATAATGAAAATTCCAATGATTAAAGACTGGGGAGAAATCATCTGTTTTAAATGTGGGGGGGGGATGGAAATGGGAAATTGAAAATTGAAAATTGAGGGGTTTGGGCAGTGCCACTGGAGGATTCCAGCACCAAAGGAAAGTGGGGGAATGTGACTCATTCCAAGACCAATATTTGGTAGTGTTTGACATGGAATAGCTCCCTTTTTTTTTTTTTTTTTTTTTCTCAGCAGACAAAACCACTCACGGGCCAACTCTCCTCCTTTCCTCCTCCCCTGAATGCCACCAAGCCCATCTGACACTGAGAGGTGACTTTGTGGTGAAATGAAGGACAGGAAGGGATGAATCCCCTTTTGTGACCCATCCATCACAGAATCCCAGGATGGCTGGAGCTGGAAGGAGCCTCTGGAGATCAGCCCCATAAGGTCCTGCAGAGAAGCAGATTGTTTTGAGCTGACTCACTGCAAATATTCACGAGCAGGATGATGGGCTCTGACCCAAGGGCTTTTGTGCAGAGGTTTTGGGGAGAAGTCACTGAAATTCCTGCGGCCAGCTGGTGGGGCTGCAGCTGGGGGAGCTCCCTGAGCTCTCACAGCTCCTCCGGAGCTCCCCAAACCAGGCACAACAGGGCTGGGCACTGGAGAACACAAGAATTAAGGCTGCATTTGGAAAAATAAATCCCATAACAACAACAGGATCTGGTCTGTGATGACTTAACACTGCTTGTCAGAGAAGCAGGAAGCTCCATCCACATCTTTAATGCTTTTTTTTCTCCTCAAAATATGAGGAAGCAGCTTAACCTTGAAAATACCACTTAGCTCACACACACACGTGGTAATTAATTTTCTACAGAGGCTGAAATCACTTTGCCTAAAGCAAAATCCTTCTGACATTATTAAATGCCACAGTGCAGTTAAAGCACAATTATAAACTAATTCACAGAATAAATCTCATTAGTTTCCTGAGGCCTTCTGAATAAACTGAAAGGAAAACATTGCCACAGTTGACTTTCATCTTTGCCTCCCTGAGCAGATACACAATCAAAAAGCATAACATTTTAATAATTACAGAGGATTAAAAACAGATAGTTTGGGAAAACAGGCATGTAAAGCTGCTGCACACCGAGCAATGGCAAAGTGCTGTCCAGGCAAGAGGGTCCTTGCACTGGCTGTTAAAAGCTTTGCAGAAATCCAGGTATTATTTTAAAAAATCAGAAGATAAGTTATTTCTACAAAGTTCTTTTTTCATGTGAACAATTTAATTATGCAAGAGGCACCTGCAGCAGCCACTGGAGCTATGAGCAGGACCAAGCCCCAGAAATCATCAGGCCAGTGCACAGTCTGAGCACACACATTGAGAAATGTTCCATTTCTCAAGCATGTTTTTGATTTAAAAACACCAGGCTGGCACACAGGCTTCCTCAGCACCTTGAAATGCAGGTCTGCCACCCCTGCCACACACAAATATTATTCTTAACCTGTTCCTCACCAAAGACCTGGCTAGGTGTTGTCCCAGGCAAGGCACAGGCCCTGGCAGCTTTTCCCTGTTGGCAGAAATGGGTCCCCTGTTCTGCACTAACACAATTCCTGCTTGATTGGTGTCTCTGAGACCAGCCCTCGAGCTGCTGAGCATGTCCTTGACTCCCTGAATTTGCTGGGAAACCAGCAGCTACAGAAAGTCAATTACATTTGTGTTTCTCAGGAGGAAAGGTGCTGTCAGTACCAAGGCCTGGGAACGTGTTAGCTGAAAAGGGTGAGTGAATCCAGCATTTCTACATCTTGTTAAATCTGTTCTCATGGAAAACCAAGAACCTGCTGGCTTCAGCACAGCCAATTCAGCACTTTACAAGTGAGGGAAGAAAAAAAGCCCAAACAGAAAGTGTTCTGAGCTTTCAAAAAGTGCTCTTTTTGTTCTCCCAGACAGCCCCAGTGGCAGCCAAGGATGTGCATCCCAGCCCAGGCAGCTGTGCATCCCAGCCTGGAGCAGATTGCATGTTTTCGAGCTGCTGCTTTCCATCTGATTGAATATTCAGATTTGTTGGCACACACCAGCAGCTGAAAACGAGGGGCCTTCCAGAAACTCAACATTTCAAGTCATCAGAGGGCTCTTCAAGTGCAGCAAAACAGAAAGAAACATATGGGGGTGGCAGAGCAGAGCTCAGCGAGTCCTTTCCCTCCCTTCACAGTCCTGAAGCACAAACATTTTGAGAGATGGGGTTTGAAAAAGGGAAACACACCAAGGGTTCCTCTGGTTCTGTGTGCTGGCATGGGAGCACATGTCCCACATGTCCCAGGCAAGGGCTGCTCTGAACTTTGTGCAGCTGAGCTGCTTGGAGCAAGGCTGAAACTCCTCATGCTCAAATTCCCCCGATTCCAAAGGCACGGCATCAGCCCCAAGCTGAATTTTGGGTTTAAAGGTTATCCCAAAAGCAGCCATATGTAAGTCAGAACTTACCATGAACACGGAGGATGGGATCACTTTGATTCAGGGTGACATTTCTCACCACACTCCAGTAATTAGATTAAGTTTCGGGATACAGCTGTCTCGTGCAATTGGAAATTCTCCCTAAGCTGTCATTTACAGGAGGCACTCTTCCATATTTCCCATGTGGTCCTTCATGCCTGTAATTTGAATAAATAATGCTCCTGAAGTTACTTTCAGCCATGGAGTGGTTTGGGAATTATCGCTCTGATCATGTAAAGCCTCTCGTGGTCCTAACGAGCTGTCAAGATTCTGAAGCCAGCAGTGAAAGGAAGGTCAACAGTGGGAGCAAGGAGACACAAAGCTAAGGAACAGATTTTCATGCTGGCACAAAGAGGAGAAACATGAGACATCCTCCCACCTGTTTTTTTTTTTCATGGTATAAAATGCTGCTTTGATTGGTTTTGTCAAAACACCAAGGGAAGATCTAAAAGTGCTTTTGGCCCCAAAAGTGGTGATTTTACAACAATAAAACACTACGTCTGTGTTCACAAGGAGAAAAAGGAGCGTCCAGGACGGGAGATGCTCTGTTTGCAAAGTGGAAAGGACACTGGAAGGAGGCAGGAACTCAGACTTCACCAAATGTTCAGGCAAAGACTTTGCCTGGCAAGCCAAGCTTGGTTGGTTTCACCGAGGTGCCACAGCCAGGGATAGCACAGAGACCTGAAACCTGAGGGACCCCAGTGTCTCATTCTTAACACTGCACTTTTGGATGGTGGATACGAGGTGGTGGACAATCAATCACCAATTCCTTCTGCATTTGTGATTCAATCACAAATTCCTTCTGAATTCCTTCTGAATTTAGGCAGAAGTTTTGAGCAGCACGAGTTCAGGAATTCTTGGGTGGCTCCAGTGTACATTTCCAAACCACAATATCTGCACTGACCTTAAAGTCCCAGGTCGGTGACACCAATCCCACCCAGACTCTTGGTTTGCTGCTGTGGCTGAGGATAACCATTGGGTTTAGGGGATGAAAACCCAAAACTATGAGATAAATCTCACCTCTAATTAAAACGCATCTCAAACACAACTAAAACCTTCAAAGACAGCAATGCCTGAGACTGTTGCTGCCTTGAATTTGGCTCACATTCCCCAAATCTTGGCATTATTTCAGGGCTGGCACTTAATGGGAATTATTTGTCCCTCCAGAGCAATGTGGTCGTGACTCTCCAAGCTTCTGATTTGCATTTAGACTGCAAGGAAAAGAATTTCCTTTGCAGCAGCCATCTCCCAGCCCTTCGCCATGTGAATATTTCCACCCTAATTAATGTCACTTAACGTAAAATATTATTCCATGTTCTGCAGAGTGGCTGTAAATAATTTACTTGTAAAACATGTTGACTTTTCATGAGTTGTTTGTACAGTAAGAACTGCACCATCTAAACTGGAGGAGGAGAGAGGAATCAATCATTTGTAATAATACCCAATAGGAGGTTTACCACATGTTATATCAATTTTTATGGCCGACACAAATAGCTGCAGCCATTACTTTGGATTTTTATTTTCTGAAGGGAATTAGAAATTCACTGTTACCTTCTGCTTCTCTCATGCTGCCCTGGAAATCACACAATTTAAAGGTGTTTGGAGTCTTTTTTACCTGCTAATTAAGGAACTGCATTAATAAAACACCAGTTTAGAATATTCATTACATACACAGTCTATACAAGGCAAAAAGTTGATTTGTGTATAAGTTAATGAGCCCAGAACCAACCAACACCACAGCAAGTAAGTGAAATGGGGTTAAAAAAAAAATCACATGTAAACTTAGTGCTAATTCACTCTCCTCCATATTCTGTGTTACTTTTTACATGCAGTGATGTTTTCAGTATTGATTATTTTCAGTGCATTAACAACTTCCTTTATTTGGTACTACTTAGTTTTGGTATTTAAAGGGGTCTGTGTTAAGCCACCAAAAACCACCCTTGATTCAAAGATATACAAATAAAACCCAGAGGTTTCCTGGCTTGGCGTTTTGCCCTTGGGTGTGTATTTCTGGTCCCCAGATGTTCCTGCGCCTGCTGTAAAGGTGCATCCAAAGCTCTGGTGCCAGCATGTGTCTGACAGGTCCCCTCCTTGGGCACACAGAGATTTTCTGGCACAAGCATTTCATGCCTGCTGAAGTCAGAGAGCAGGGCAGAGGCATGGAATGGGCAAGGAGTAAAGCAGAGAGGGATGAGTCTCACCACACTGAGCCCAAAAATTCTGCCAAAGCACTGTTTGTGAGAGAAGAAGGGATAGAGGAATCAGAATAGGAAAAAGAACAAGGAAACCAGAAAAGGAAACAGTAAAAATACAAAATTTGAATTGCAAAGCTGGATTGACCTCTCCCTGTTCAAGCTTGCCAAAGAAATGAAAGGCTGCCCTTGTGGCATGGTTGTCCTCTGAGAGCCACCAGCCACTGAAGGACAGCTCAGTTTAGCCACTCATCACCCCCCAGAGCTCCTGTTCTCACCCTGCATGTCCTGTTCAAGCCCCAAAACGGGGCAGAGTAAAGTAACTCCGTGAAATCTCTGTCACTTCCAGGGAGAAAGGGCCCTCTGGAGGCTGATCCCCTTGGGGATGTCACAGCGGTGCGTACCAGGCGCGCTTTGATAAATGCAATGCAGAACCCAGGTTAAAGAACAACCCACTCTGTGTGTTTTCTATTCTGCAGTCAAGGTGGAAACTTCCACAGCAGATTTTCGCCTCAGTTCCAAGCCTGGAGCAGAACTCATGGGCATTAGGGCATACAAAGCAAGGAGCAATTTGGGTCTCTCGCCCCAAATCCCACTTTCCATCCCATTGTTCTGCTGTCCATCAGAGGCCACATTCCTGCAAGTCTAAGAGCAAAGAAAAGAGCAAGTCCAGCAGCAAAGAAACCTTTTCTCTCCCCTTTTTGCAGCAAAGGAACAGATAAGCAGGGAATTCTGCTGTACACGGAATTTGTGACATTTAGCATGCAGAGGAGCAGGTATTTATCAGCCAGCTCATCAGCTCGGTGTCAAAATGTTTGTCATCAAACAAACACAAACCAGAGGCACAAAAGTGCAGCTGGAGATGAATCACCAATACCTTTCTGTGCTCTGATCAATACTTCTGCTGTGGTGAAATATGAGAGCAACAAAGACTGATGTTGGAACTGTAATTGAAACACGAGAACTCCAACAAAACCTTTCCGCTTGGAATATTTTAGAATGCTCCTCAAATTCTCACTATAGGTAAACGTATTGTCGCCCTGACAATTGGCATAAATTTAAAAGAGATTTTTATCTCTTTCGATGCTTAAGGCATCATTTGATCCAAATTTCCCTGACGTTTTCCCCTTTTCCAGCATGATTTTAGAGGCCTCAAGTGACTGCAGTGTGACCAGCATGGAATCAAGAATGTGCCTGATAAATAATAGCTCTGTTCTCAAAAATTAATGAACAATATCCCTATAAACACACAATCTCTCCAGAATGACACTGGATTGTGATTTTCCCACTCTCACTCCCTGCATTCTTGCACGAATTTACATAGGATGATAAATTATTTAGAAATCCATTTCAACTACAGAAAATCCAGTTTACCCATTACTTATAAAAAGCCATTACAGCTACTTAAGTTTTCTATTACAGCCAATTTAATTTATTACAAAATAGCGAGTCCATAAGATTTTGATCTATCATAGGTACCGAGAGATAATGGAACACTGGAGGATATTATGACCATGAAACATGAAGAAGAAGGGAAAGAAGTCATTCCATTTATAGTGGAAAGTAAACATCTGAGATAATAAACTGGCCAATGCAACCAGGCTGAGAATTGGAAATGGAACAGAAGAAGAAGAAGAAGAAGAGGGATCCCATTTTTAAAGGCTTATTGGTTATTTATGTAGATGCTACAAGTTATAAAAGGAAGAAAAACGATCTTGTGATAAAAGCTGCTTATTGGAACTAAATCTGAATTCCCATCCTGACTGCTCCAAGATGAGGCTGTGGAAGTTCTGTCAGGTGCCTGTGCTAAAACTCCCTGGCCATAAAATGGGAAGAATATTTCTTTCTCTGTCCAACTTCCCCTCCCCTGCCTATTTCCATTGGCACAAAGGCAGCTGATGTCTTCCACAAAGACAAAATAATGGCCCCTGGTCTTTGGAGAAGAGTTTTTCATCTTTATTTGCACTTCTATGAATTGCTCTTTAGTTTCTTCTAGAGATTAACACACAGGAGTTTACCTCAGCCTGCCATCACACTCTTTAGAGCATTTTCTAAAATTCTCAGATAATTCCAGGAGATTTAGGGATGTGGCATTTCTAAACTGGTGCCTGGTGACAGTGTCACCATGGCAAATTGTCCTCCCTTCCAGTGGGATGGGACTTAAATATGGAAAAGGGGTGAGTTTGGGTGAAGGGGTAAAAAAAGCACAAAGCACTGCAGGTTTCCTTCTCCACTGATTTTCTGTGAAGTTTTTCAAGTCCTATATTTGATTTTGCTGCCCTGCTGTATCAGTTTTTTGGGCCTGATGGTGATTTCCTCTTGAGCAGATCCTTGACTCTCCTCAGGAAAAAAAAAGCTGAGTTTGTTTGTGTCACCCGACACCAGGCAATTGCCAAGTTAGAGAAATAATGTTATTTTAATCAAACCACCAAACCAGATTGAAGCCAACAGCTGTAACAATGAAAGGAAGCTGAAAACCATTATCCAATTTACCAGGCATCAGTGAGCAGCTACAACTCCGAGCTGCACTCCTGCAGCTTGGCTTTAACTCCTGGTAAAGAATTCCCTGCTTCATTGCTGATGATCCAAGAAGGGCAAATTGCTTTGCTTTTCTTTAAAAATCACATGCTGGAAAAGGAAATGAGGCAAAAAGTCAAAGGCAGCATCTGTATGTCTTGCAGTATCACTAAGGAACATCCTGTAACTCTGCTCCTGCTGATGGCTTTTCACTTAAACACAAAGCCCTGCTGATGGTGTGTGATGCTTCGTGTTCCTGATTAGCTGGAAAGAAATAAAACATTTATCTTCATCTTCAGATCTTTATCTTTAGGAGTTAATTCTGTTGCTGTCTAGGTTTTCGGGGGTGGGGGGGGAAATGTTGTTCTTAAATTCAGGCTTTGAATTAGTTGTCCTGGAGGAAAATGGGAATATTCACTCTCTTCAGATTAAAATGTTTGCATGACTGG